CCCGGGCTGAGGAGCCGTGGCTCGTGAAGCTGAGGTTCAGGCTGAGGCTGAAGCTGAGGCTGAGGCGGCGGCGGCGGTGGCGGCGCCCGGAGCGGATAACAACTGACGTACTTCCGCCCGGCAGCCAGCGCCAGAGGAAGTGGGCGCACCGCGGAGCCCGGCGCCAGCCCCGCCCAGGCCCCGCCCAGACCGCGCCCTGGCCCCGCCCCCCCAGCGCGCCGCCGGCCGGACCCCGCCAAGGCTCCGCCCCAAGCGCCCGTCGCCGCGCACATGTCGGCCCCGCCCCGCCTACGGCGGACGAGACCCCGCCTTCCAGGCCCCGCCCCGTGCGCGCTGCGCTCTGCCGAACTCCGCCCCCATCCCTGCAGGCTCCGCCCCTCGGGGAGGGAGCTGGAAGGCCGCGCCTCTTCCCGCCCCTCTGCCCTCACCTGGGCTAGGGCCCCTTCACGTGGGAAGTGCAGGGTCCAGGGGTTTCGGCCCTTCTCCAGCCTCGGTCTCACTCCGGAAAAGGGGAGGGGGGGCCTCTCCAGCCAAACCCGACACGGGGGCCGAGGGGCAAGCTCACCGTCACACCGAGCTGGGGGCTGGGGTGGGGGTGGGGGGTCTCACTGGGGGAGTTCTCCCAGGCACTAGAAGTCCTGCCCACGGGGGATGTGTGTAGAAGGGGGACGGACTGCCCTTTCCCAGAGAGCGTGTGAAGGCCGGGTGAAAGTTTCCTGGCCTCCCACTAGCCCGCACCCCAACCTGAGCTGTCTCCATGTGGCCCCCTGCCCTTTTCCTGCAGGGGGTCTCCTGCAGGCTCTCAGCTCCTGGAGCTCTCCACTGCCCCTGCCCAGGTGGAGTCCTGACCTCTCTGCTGCACTTCCGGGCGCAGCGCACCCCCTCCCTCTCCCATGTCAGGTTGCTCAGATTTTAGAGTAGGGCAGCCCTCCCAAGACCAGAGACCCCAGAATGCACCCTCACTGAGACCCCAGGGCTGCCTGGTTTGCATTGAGACAGCAGTTTGGGGTGCTACCGAAGAGCAGGAACAGATGCGAAGGGGCAGCTGGAGAGTTGAAAGCTAGATATAATGGTGAACTTCCTCTTTCATCAACAGGGGACTGCCTGGGGAAAGGAGGGACATGCAGGTGGGGAGAGGCTATTTTCTGCAATCCCAAGATCATTAATTCACTCAACACATACTTACCAAATGCACTAGGTCCAGGCACTGTTTGTGAGGCTGTAGTGGACGAGACAGACGGCCCTTTTGGAAGTGGGAGAGAACATGACCACAGAGCCAAATAACAGAATATCTGATGATAACACGAAGCTAACTGAATAGGGAGGTGCGATAGAAAGTGAGTATGGGGTAGTCCCAGAATGCCTCTGAGTGCGGATCTGAGCTGAGACCTGCAAGATGAGAAGGACCTGGCGGAACCATGTTTCCCTGCAGAGAGCACAGCCCATACAAAGGCACTGAGGCACGGTAACATTTGCTGCACTATGTGGAGACTGAAGGGAACACAGTACATGAGCTCTGGAAGGTGCCCCCTTGCTCAGTGAGGAAGTGCTGCCCTGGGCAATGCTGGAGGGATGGTCCACTGCCCCCCATATAGGGACTTGGGCTTTCAGTCTGCATCACCCCGCCCCTTGGAGGGCTGAGGGCCCCAGTGTGGGGGGGGGGCAGGGAGGTGGATGGTCTAGGTGCCCCGTTGGCCGGGCTGTCCCTGGTGGTCGTTGGAAAGGCAGCTCTACAAGCTTCCAGACACGGGGTTGGGGTCTCAGGCCCCAGAACTGCCAGCCTCCAGGCCTCCCCTCGGCAGGGCTTTCTCTGCTCTGGGCCCTCCCCAGCCCTCTCCTAGCCTTCCCAGGGTGGGGGCAGGGTTCTCCTCCACCTCTTCCCATTCCAGGTTTTTTTATGAAAACCGTGACTCCTCCAGCATCATCCCTTGTGAGTTGTAAGAACCTCATTAGGAAGACAGAAATGGACCCAGACTGGTCCCTCTGTATTCCCGCTACCCTAAATCCCCCCTGAGGACAGAAGGCCAGAAAATGTGGGCATTGGAGGGTGTCCCAGGATAATATTGCAGGATTTCATCTGGATACAGGCCCTTGGGTCCAAGGCTTGTTCCGAGGGCAGCTTCCAGGCTCCACATCTGCTCTGTAGGGTGCAGAGACCCACCCTACACCCAGCCTGGGACTTCCAATGGGCCCTTTCCTGTCGCCCCTTCCCCCCCTCCTAGAACAATGCTGCGCTGGGCAGGGCAGTCATAGAGCCAGCGTCCTCAGCTTCCTCCCACGAGACTAGGGGAATGATCAGGCTTCTCTGCCCTGGGGGTCCCTGCTCCAAAACGGGGCTGGAGGTGATGACTCTGCTCCCGCAGTGGGTGGTCTGAAGGTTCAGCAAGTTCTCCAGCTCTGAAACTGTCAGTCACGTGGGACTGGGAGGTTCGTTGGCATGCATCTCTGGGCCTGCCCCAGAGCTTCCGATTCATCTGGTCCCACGTGGGGCTTGAAAATTTGCATGTCCGACAAACAGGCTGCAGGTCTGGGGACCACACTTTGGGGACCACAGGGTTCGGAGCCACAACAGCACCTGGCACATAGTAGGGCTTGCAGACGCGTGCCCCTCTCTGCAGCCACCAGTGTCCCTGAGAATGGGACCCTGCCCCTCCCCCAGGCGATCCCCACCCTCAGGGCTTGGCTCTTGATGACCATGATAGCCTCCCTCTTCTTGTTGCCCTAGTTCTGGGCGCCTCACTAGTTCCCTCCCAGGCCCCTGGGGCTTGGCTCTTTGGCCTGCGGCCGGCCCAGATCTTCCCTGCCACTTCACTTCATCCCATCGCCGAGGACCAAACTTCCGGGTGCAGTAAGGGGAGAGGGGGCCCTGCCCACAGACGCGAACTCCGCCAGAGAGAAGCCTCTCTCCACTCCAGCCTGCCATGGAAGTGCTGGCCCGTGGCTGTGGCCCGAAGCCTAGCCCTCACCTGGTCACTGCGGACGGCACGGCGCCCTCCTCAGCACAGCTCAGAGAGGCTTTGCTGGTAATTAGTCGCTTCCAGGATGGCCTGTCAGCCCCATCAATCTTCACCGTTTGGTTTTGCTTTAGAGAGTAGCTGCTTTTCTGTAAGGTTCTGAGCAAAGCTAATTGACATGAAATTCTATTCAAAATTCAATTTGCTCTTACAGATCCGATTCAGGCCCTATAAATCAGCAGGGCCAGTGGCTCCTTTGCAGTTCAAACATGCTTTTTGCTTGCAGGGTGGCAGCCAGAAGATGCTGAGTCCTGGCTAGCAGGCTGGCCCCTGGTGCTGCATCTATGAACCGGAGGTCAGCTCCTCTGTGCGTCCCGGTACCCACTGCACCTCCTTCAGGTAAGAGCACTTCAGTGCATTTCAGATACTTAGACCACTTCCATGGACACCATCTTGGTCGGCTCACTGAGAAGTCCCACCATCCCCCAGCCAAGGAATGGCAGGTGTGTTCGCTCCCGCCATGGTAATGCTGCGTAACGAACAGCCCACATAATTTCTGTGACTTACAACACCAGTTCTTTTTTCTTGCTCCCAGGGCTGTAGGTTGACCTGAGGGACTCTGCTGCAGACTGTGGGTCAGGTTCAGGTATCCCTCTGGGACCCAGGCTGCAAGAGGTGAGCTATCTGGGGTGTTCTCTGTACAAAACTCGGAGGGCCAAGCTCAACCACACAGGCACGCTGAAAGTCTATGCTGTAGGCCTTGCATCTTGTCTGTTCACATCTGGTGCAAGGCAAGGCAGGTGGCCAAGACCATCCTACGTGGGGTAGGAAGCTGATGCCTGCCCCTGGGGTGGGTGGGGGGCTGGCACTGCAGAACCCCATGGCAGGGGATGCGTGTGGGTCCGCAACAGAGAGGAAGTGAACATTTGGGGACTAGATTCCCATTTGTCACAGCCTGTTCCTGGAATTACAATCTGTCTTCAGAACAGTATCCAAGAGATTGATAGATATTCCGGGTGCACCTGTCGCAAATGTGCCCCTTCCCCTGATTCCTGCTCCTCAGGATCTGTTCTGTGGTCAGTTTCTGAGCCTGCTTCTGCCCTGGGGGCTACCCACATTCTGCCCCTGTCCGTCCACACCCTCCCTCTTCCTCAGCCCTGATTCTGATATCATTTCTTCCCAGAGGCCGGCTGGTGGCTTCATGCTGAGCAGGGTGCGCACATGAGAAGCTGGTGCATGCTCAGGCAGGCAGAAGTAAAAGCAGGACCAGTTTTCTCTGGAGAGCCTGCAAGGCACCAGGTCTGCCTCAGTTGCACACAGAGTTAGGATCAACAGTCCCCTGCCCCCACGCCGGCGTGGACACCGCCAGGCCTGCAGCCCGAGGGCTCCTGCCCCTCCCCTTCCACCTCTTAGTCCTGATGAAGCATGATAGCAGTGTCATGTGGGTGGAGGTGGCGAGTGGTCTGCTCGGTAGCTGGGGTTTGTCTAGACTATCTTCACAGCTGCCACTATCCTCCCCAGAGGCGTGCCCACACCCCACGTGCTGTCCCCACCACCCCGTCCCTCTGTGGTGGAAGGGCCGGCTCTGGGGCCCAACCCCACAGATGGTGCCCCTGAGACCTGAGGCCTCCCGCACATGGGCGCCCTCTCCGGCCATCCTGGTGCACACTCTGCTTCGTGCGCACATCCGTCAGCTCCAGAAGAGCAAGCAGCCTTGGGCCCGACTCAGTGCCAGCACCCAGCAGGGGC